ATTGTTCTCAGGCACATAGGGAGCGTGCTGAGTGTGGCAAGCCGAGACGAAACCTGATCCCGTAAGATTCATCTCAGCGCCAAAGCCTCAGGCTTGATTTGCGGGCTTGGATGGGCACTTGGCGACGGTGTGTCCAGGCTGGCCGCAGAAGTGGCAGAGCTTGATATGTTCGCCTTGGTAGTGTCCCGTCTGGCCGCAAGAGTTGCAGCGCATAGTCCGTCGAGAGCATTCGTTGGCGCCATGTCCACGACGATCACAACGGCCACAGACGTTTTGGCTGCTGACCGTCATTTCGTCGGGCTTGGACGAGATCACCACTGGGGTAAGGCCAACACGAGTACGTCCAGCACCAGGCATTTGATTCTGTGTCGGTGTCATGTTCGGTGGAAGGACCGCTTGCCCGGAAGGAGCAATGGTATTGGGAGCATATGGTTGTTGATACGGCTGTCCAAAAGACAAAGTCGCGGGCTGGACTGGAGCCGCTTGTTGATATGCGAAGCCGTATGGTTGCGACGGCTGGATCGGGGCCGCATAAATGGGCTGAGTTTGACGACTTCAGGCGTCGATAAACCCTTGTTGGACTTGGTTCGAACGCTCGATCAAAGCGACGAACGCCTTTTGTTGCTGAGCATGGTTCATCGTCATGAGTTCGAGAAGTTGCCTCATCGCCGCTTGGTCTTCAAACTCGACATGAGATCCGCGGCGTGACAGACAAGGCGACGCCGGAGGAGTTGAACGTTCACTGGTAGTTGTACGATACGACGCTGACGTAGAGGCCGAGGAGTTGGATCGAGGTTGGGGTACGTCTGGGGCTTGGCAGTTATTTCGTCCAGACGAACTTCACGCGCGCGAAGGAGTTTCATGCAGTCGGCGATCGAGTTGAGTTCGCCGTCGGTGTGTTCGAGATATGACTCTGCACGGGCGTGTCGGACTCCGCGTTTGAACATGGCAACCCCTTTACTAGCTGGGAAGTCCACTTCGTCCAAGATCGTCTGGAGTCGAATTGCGTACGCCTTTACCGGTTCGTCCACGTAACGCTCAGACGCTTCGATCCGGTTGTCCACGTGGTCGCGAGGAGTGCTGCTGCAGAATTGGTGGTCCTCAAAGCTGTCATGGATCTCAGACCAGACCTCACCGCCTTTCGTCTTCGAGTAGGCGATCCACCAGGCGTTCAGGGTAATGGGAGTCGAGAAGGGACTTGCGTTCGTCGTCGGTCAGACCACCGCGGTCAGATTGTTCCACGAGTTGCTTCATGAAGTACTCACAGTGATAATGGGCGTCCGACGACGGGATGGTAGTATATTTCACAACACGACCGAATGCTTGGTTGCTCGAGGACGTGTCGATAGCTTCAGCCATTTCACTGGACATTTTGGTCAAGAGGGCGGTGAGTTCGGAAGGTAGCTGCAAAGGGTAGCCCGAGGATGGTTCGGGTGCCGGGATCGAAGCTTGGGCTAGACGGGACGAGAAGTCTGGACTTAGCTGATCAATGCGTGCTTCGAGAAGTAGCACGCGGTCTTGCAGAAGGGTCTTGTCGTGGACGAGAGACGAGACGCGTTCGTGTACGAGTTGGTTTGCCTGGCGAAGCGCTTCCAGGCAGGGACGAGTGTCGTCTGAAAGAGCAGGTGGTGCAGGAAGTTGTTCGTGGAGGAGACGACCGAGAACTTGGACGTCACACGAGAGGCGTTCAACTTCGCGGGATACACGATCTTCGTACGAGTGAAGAGCAGTCTGCAGTAGAGCGGTGACCGAGGCTTGACTTTGCACCGAAGAATGCAATTCAGAAATGGCCTGAGCATTGGCGGAGATTGCCGTTGGATCTGAAACTGCCAACGCAGCAGTTCGAAGGAGATTCACGGAAGCGTCCAATGCTTGAAGTTCAACTTGGATCGACGAAACGTCTTGAGTCAAAGTCTTGTTCCGTTCGGCCACTGTATCAACAGCGTTGCCGAGGTGGACAAGCTCGTCGGTAGCAGCTAACTGCCAGACACGGGTAGACGAAAGGGTTTCGTCCACTCTGTGCGAAAGGTCCGTAGCCGCAGCTTGGTGTTCGAGGAATGAGGCTCGCAAGGTTTGGACTTGTGCTGAACCCTGGTCTGAAAAACTTTGGAGTGAGGTTCGCAGTTCTAGATTTGCAAGATCCGTACTGGACGGAGAACTTGCGACCAAATCCGACTCGATAGTAGCTTGCATGATCGAGTTGTCGTCCGTTTCCATTTCACCAAAGTCGTCGAGAATGGATCGGACGGGAGGTGGTCCGTCAAACGTCAAGATTGGCGGCATCGTCAACGACGGCCTTTCATCAGTCGCGTCGATCTCCATAGGTGCATCGTGGCTAACGACAGGAGCCAGACCAAACGGTAGGTCCGGTTAAAATGTCGTCAAGTGCTGATGACGTTCGATGATAGGTTGATGAATGGGCACCATGCCGAGTAGCGGACTGGGCTCGACATGGTCCGTGATGGCCTCCACACCCATGGATTCGTCTGGACGGGCAGACACGACGTGGTCCATCAGTTGGGGGGAGTTCGAGATCTCGGATCCACGTGAGCGACAGGTGACAATCCAAATGGTAAGGCAGGATTGTAGAAGGCAGTTTCGTGAACGAAATCGGAAGCCGGCAGGGCCAGACGAGTCGGTGACGAAGAGTCAAAGCGCGATCTCGTCTGGTTCAGTACTAAACTGGTTTCGTTGTTTTCGGAAGAAGCTCGCCTCGCAACAGTCAGCTGGACGGTGGGAGTCGTCATCACATGCGTAGATTCCATCAAGACTGGTACACCGTGGGCGTGGGTGGACACTTGAGCCAAGTGATGAATTGTTTCGGTCGCAGACTACACGTCAGAGGTCAGTAGCGATAACGTCCCAGGCATAGGACTTGACGAGGAGCGCACAATCGGACTTGTAAAGGTGAGCGGGACAACAGACTGTGTCAGCGTATCGTCGTCGTTGCCCTCGGTCAACATGGATTCGTCAGACTTGTTTTCGTCGGAGCTAGCTTCAGCCATATCGTCTGTGTATACAAGCTCTTCAGACGAACTTCGTGGCTCCATGGATAGATCACTCTCGTTGTCGAGGAGAGAGGCCAGTTCACGACGAGCGGAAGTTGAGGTAGTATCGGCAGCCTCTTCCGAGTCTTCGGCCGCTTTGCTTCGTCCAAGTCTCGTTGCTCGGGCGAGTTGAAGTTATGTTGGATTCGGTAGTTGATGTCTGGCTTCTGGACAGGGGTACCTTGGGCAGGTTCAGGCTGACTTTTACACTCTTCATCAGAGCTGCTGCTAAGGAGGACTTCGTCATCAGCCACGCTCACGACGGCTGAAGCGACATCCGTGTCGTCTGCGATTGCTTGGGCGGGAGGTGGATCGAGAGGCCTTTGCTCATCCAGGTGTGCTGGATTTATTGGTTTGGCAGAAGAGTTTCCGTGTTTCACCACCATTTTTGTGACGGTCGTAGGGGTTAGACGCACAAAAGTTACGAAGGTCCGGAGGTTTGGGCTTCAGGACCGGATACTCTCGGCTTGGCCAAGAAGAACACAGCAAGAAAGGAGTAGATCCAATGTTAGGCAAATGTAAAAGTGAACTATCTAAAAACTAGCTAAGGCTGACGACCTTTGGGGAAAGGTCCTGTAGAATAAAATGCAAGACGGCCAAATTCGAAGGTAGTCGGCCCGTCGAATAATATACCTTTGCGATGGTAATACCACGATGTGGTATAGTAGTACAAGCCCATGCTCCAGCTCCGTCACAGTTCACGACCGGTCACGGACCTCGCCATGCTAAATGTTCGTTGGAGGTCTTCCAGATCGTCTGTACTAGCGTTATCTACGCGTCAAGAGCAAGCGTTTGCGCGTGGTTTGAGGGAAAAGTGACTGAGTTACGTATGCTTTTAGTTTTTCGCTGTCGGTGTCGAAAGTTCCAGAACCCACATCTTGATAGGTAGAGGGAATATAAAAAAACTAAAAATACTGCGCTGCAGAGAATTTCATTGGCTGTCGATTGGGCGTATTTGCAAGTCTTTTCGAGATTTTTTGATTGAAATATGATTTTCGAAGCAACTTCACACATGTATAAACTGTACTTGGAACCAATTTTTCATTTTGCTAAAAATATCTACTTCGAACAGGCTCTAACGCTAAGCTCTAATATGATATTGAATTATGAAATATAATAACCTTTATTTTATTGATCAAACACTATGAAAAAAATTATATTCATTAACCAGAAAAAGTATGGTGAAATAGGCAATTTTGTATGGAGCGCAAGGTGAACACCTTGCGAATTACATAAATAATTCTGAAATTGTGTAGTTTCAATTAAATATATCTTCAAGTTTGTATTGATGATTTTTATTTTTCGTGTGTCTTGGAATTCGCAAGGCAGGTATGTACACCTTGCGAATTCAAAATTGTCCAATTATATCCAATCAGATGCGGTGAAATCATGAAAATCGCTGCGTAGATTCATCACGCCCTGTTGCGACATTCTACTCCTGTGATGGCAGTTGATGCAAGGAGCCTTGAGATAATTGTACTGTATGTAGGCTGTGTATGAGAGCAAGATCATGAGATGTGGTATTCAGGACTCGGTGGATTCTAACAGTTCTCATTTCACCACTTGCCTACTAACCCAATGAAATTGTCATCCCTCATTCCACCATGCAGCCCGTGTCGGTGCCGTACACCTCCCTGCCGGTGTGATCACGTGGTTGCGCAGGCGGTGGCGCAAGACCTCTTGTGCCACCGCGTTGGCCCACCAGAGCCACCACGACATTGCGACCCAAGCGAGCGCACAACATAATGTAAGCTTAGTAAGGGGAGAACCACATTGGACATGCACTCATCAGTGCACAATTCTCTGGAGCAAGCTCTACAAAATTCAAAGTTCAAAACTCTTTTTAATATATTAGTCATTTTTAGGACATGGCGGCGGACGATGGCGCGACTGGCGACGGTGACCAATCACGCTGTCGACGAATACATCGCAAGTCAAAAGTAGCGTCTAGCGATGCAGCTGGCCCAAGCACAAGCCGACAGCGGCCACTACAACCAAGGCCAAGTCGTGCTGGATGTGGTCATGGTGTGACTGCAAGCCGCGCGCGACCACGTCTCAGGCGAGAATATCGTCGCACAGCAAGCCCTCCTCCACGGCTTGGCAGAGTGTAAGGTGACTATGTCGGGTGCGTCAGCGTACCATGCCACGGGGCACGCCTTGCTCAAGCAGAAGACTCAGTCCCATTACACCCAACCAGCCACCCACATCGACGAAGCCGACGCGTCCAGCCAGAACAACAGCGCCAAGCGCAATATGCTCAAACTCGCGCTTTGAGCAAAAGGTCGTACCGAGCGGCCCCCAACGCCAATACTTAATCTCTTTAAATGTATCTCTTTTCAGACGTATGTGTGTGACCTTGGTTCTGTGCTACAGTACAACTATAAACCAATGAACTCTGCGATACTGTGAACCAAATGTGTGCAGTCTTAAGGTTTGAGCGCGTCCAACTCGCCGTCGTCTTTGAGTTGCTGGATGATGTCAAGCCCGCCAATGAGATCGCCCTTGACGTACACTTGCGGGTACGTCGGCCAGTTGGAGAACGCCTTGAGGCCTTGGCGCACCTGATTGTTGATTACATTAAGTTACAACCCATAATATACAACACACTGCTATAAACTCGGTGGTTGTGTACCTTGTCGTCGGTGGTGATGTCGAAAAAGTCGTACGTGAACCCAGCTTGGTTTAACGTTTCAATCAACTGCCTCGAAAAGCCACACTGTGGCGCATCGGGTGTGCCTAATATAAATAATATTTAGAAATCCCATATTATATAGTAGTAGCTGTTATATTATAATATATATATTAGACAATCGAACAATCAACAGGCAAAGCAACGTGCCTTTGATAAAGATCATCACCGGTGCCCGGTTGACCAGAGCCCCGAGGTCCGCCGACGGATCGCGCTTGGGCTCCTTCTTCGCCACGCCCAACTGGTCGGCCAAGTCGCCTTCGTCCTACACCTCATATCGTCAAATATCCAGACTTTCAATTGAACTTGGCAACTGTAATCTAGAATGAACTAGCCAATCAAACTGACCAATGCGAAATATCAACCAATCATCGATCAGCATAGTTTGGCTTCACCAAAAAGTGCAGCTTTTGATTCGTACACCCTACATCACACATCTCACACAAATCGAATCTCTACAAGTCCAACTTGTAGTGAAATATGGACCATATAGAACGAAGTCAAAGCAATCACACCCTTCGTTCCATTCTCTCTCCCAATATGATTAAGCCAAGATGCACGCACGCACCGCCATCTCCGTGAGGATGTCCAGGCCGCCCGCGAGTGCGCCGTGGACGTACAGCTGCGGGTACGTGGGCCAGTTGGACATCTTCTTGAGCCCCTGGCGCACCGACTCGTCCGACAAAATGTCAAACGTGGAAAATGCAATATGGTGGCCGCGGAGAAGCTCCACCGTCTTGCGCGAGAACCCGCACTTGGGCTCATTCGGCGTGCCCTTCATGAACAAGAGCACGGGCGCCGACTTGATCAGGTCCGTCAAGCTCGCAAACAGCGCCTTCTCCACGTCATCGTCGTTGAGGGGCTGGATGCCGAATTGGTCGGCCAACGGCCCTTCTTCCTAACGACGGATATATGAAGACACGATGGACAGATGGAAGGAAGGATACCTTCATTTCCGTGAGGATGTCCAACCCGCCGACGAACGCGCCGTTCACGTACACTTGCGGAAACGTGGGCCAGTTTGAAAACACTTTGAGGCCTTGGCGCACCTACCCCATAGACACGACGAGGTACTTGAGTGGAAACGACGAGCTCAGGTGAAACATGGTGGACGGACCGTGTCGTCGGTCAAGATGTCAAACGTGCCGCACTCAATGTTCTCGTCCTTGAGCAGACCGATCGTCTTGCGGGAAAAACCGCACTTGGGTTCGTTCGGACTGCCTTTCATGAACACCATCACCGGCGACGCCCTGCGAGAAGCACGGCGTTACACTGGCGTTAGATGCATGATCATAACGTACGTGGTCAGTTTGAGCAGTCTGTTGCGCAGTGCATCATCGAGGACCTATGCGGACTTGTCAACACAAGAAACATGGGAGAGTATTGATGTACGGCGGCCTTGGTGTCGGTAGGGACGGCCGAGGTTGGGTCAGCGAGGCGTTTGCTGGCGCGGTCGATGGCTTGCGCAACTTCAGCAACCTTCATGCCTTCGATGCGATCCACGACGTTGGAGGACACGCTGATGATGAATGTGGGCACGACTTCGAGGCGGAACTCGGTGCTGAGCGCAGGCACCGCTTCGGCGTCGACCTTGCAGAACGACAGCCGCGGGTGCAACGTTGCCAGTTGCGTGAAGAGGACATTGGCAGGTCCAAGCCAATCTGCGCCGCTGTCACTCGACGCAATGCTGACGTTCTTGGCGTAAAAGAAGAGGACGGTCACCTTGGGCGTCGATACGAACGCCTTCCACTGCGCCAACGACGAGACTTCGGTCACTTGTTGCATCGTTGTCAAATTGCTCGCTGGTGCTCTTCTCAGGCCTGCAGGATACTGTTATTCGGATGCTGGATACTTATCCGGATACTACGGATATGGGGGTACCAATCGAAACTATTTTGTCCAACTAACAGTAAGCTTACGATCGATGTACTATGCTTTGCCCTCTACTTCGTCACCACCTCCTTCGTCATCGTCACTCCCTTCGTCAGTCGCTTCATCCTGGACGTCCTGGTCGTCGCCTTGTAAAGTCAGCGCAATGCGCGTGACATTTTTCAGAATCGACTTGGCAGTGTCTTCGTCCGGCTCGTGGCCGTGCTCCTTGGTGAACCGCACGACCGCCTCGGCCATCAGGGCTTTGCTACAATCCACATAAGTCCCCCCTTCAGTAACGTTCCTTTACATGAGTTCGCCAATGTCCTCGACGTCCCCAAAGTCGTCGTCGTCGTTGTCCGACACCACAAGCTTCTCCATCTCCTCCGCCACGCGCTCCTTGAGGTCGTTCAGCTCGTCCTCGGTCGGCTCCCGGCCTACGCAACCAACATTCCCACCTTTCTAAGCAACTACCGCCGCAACTCTCAAGGGTTTCTGCAACTCAAAAATGGCAATCAAAGTATGAAATTCGACAAATATTCTTTTCTTTGGTACAAATGAAGTAAACACACAATCCATATATATATATATATATATATCATGAATTTCGACAAATATTCATTGTTTTTTTTTGGTCAAAATGAAGTCACAACAATCTCAAAGCGAAGCAACCCATGTATATATAATATATATGCCAGGGGCTATTGTTGGTACCGTTTTCGTCGACGAATTCCGTGATAAAATACTGCAGCGCCACCTCGCTTGCATCCGGGTGGTCGGTGCTGTTGGCCATCTCCGCCTCCACCTTGTCTTGAATGTCCTTGCGCTCTTCGTCTGTGGGCTGCCGACCTACACACATACATGAATCATTCGATTGTCTTGATGATGACGACGAAACGCATATATATTGTCACGAATATATATTGTCACGAATATATATTGTCATGAATATATATTGTCATGAATATATATTGTCACGAATATATATTGTCATGAATATATATTGTCATGAATGTCGTCACCGTGTAATTCGACGAATTCCTCGGTAAGGTATGCCAACGCCGCCTTCTTGTACGACTCGTCGTCTTCGTCTGGCTCGCTCTCGTCATCGTCGTCGTCGTCCTCGGGCTCCCACTCGGGCAGCGTCAGTGCTTGGAACGCCTTGTATTCCTCGACGGTGAAGTCCTGCTGCTCGCCGCTGGCGTCGGTGCGGAAGATCAAAATGTCGCCGCGGATTTCGCCCAGGCGCCCGTGGAATGGCGGCTGCATCTTCTGCGCCGTCACGGGCAAGCTCTCGTCTTCTTGGGCTTCGGGGTTGCACATGAGGAACACCTCGATGTCTTCGTATTGGCCCAGGAAATGGCATGCGCCACCGAGCAGCGCCTTGACCTCTTGCTTTTGGGGTGTCATGTCCACCGTGACCTCTTCGATGGACCCGTCAGCCTTGAGGAGGACGCATTTCACCACTGGACCTGCATACGATCGAACTGCTTACGCATCATGCTTCGAGACATGGAGACTAGAGTACCTTCGGCGTTCATGATGGACTGGATGTTCACACCCTGAAACAAGTCGCCCTTGGACTTCTTGGTCGACGCTTCATCGGACGTCGTCGCGCCAGCACGTTTCTTCGCGTTGGCCATGGTCGTCGTTGTTGGGAATTGGGCGAGTTTTCATGTTGGTTGGTGGGGCAATTTATGGGACCCACCATCTTTGTGATTTGCATTGGAAAAAGGGAGGGGGGGTCACCAATTCTATCCCAGTGATGGAACCCCCACGTTTGATTGGCTACTGAGTACCCAATGAACTGACTTGAATCTCACGAACATGCAATCGTCACGTTATTGTCGGCTTATGTCCTGCTACTGAGTAAGTGTGCCTACGTGTGATAGCCCATAGTGCTATCGCTGTACCGAGACATACTGTCGTCTCTGTCGATGGTCGTTGCGTCCGACGAGCGGAAGCCGAGACTGGGAACCAAATCATCACGATGAATGGACGGCGTAGCCACAGGCTTTGATGGCTTAGATGCGAGGGAGCAGAGTGTGCACGCGCGTCGCTTGGTGAGGTGGCCATTCACAAGAACACTCCACGACGGGTTGCACGCAGTGCACACCACCTACACCATGCACATCAACATCCACGATGGAGATCACCGGAATCAAGAAACCTCGCCGCATTTAAGGCAGTTGGTCTTTTTCCGCAGCGGGCTGAAGCGGCGATGGCAAAGAAAGCAATCCCGTCGACTGTCCAACGGCCGCAGGTCCCGCGCAAGTAAGAACGCCGACGCGCTCAGACGACTTTGACGCAGACAGAGCTCGACGCCTGCGAACGCGCGACACATGTCCTTGGTCGCGCGCAAGGCCACGAGTGGCGGCACGAGCCCTTGGACGTCGATGTGGGCGACAGCGGACAGGTGGAGGTACCCGCGGCGAGCGGCATCTTGGCAAACCACGCCGGACGGAAACATCCTGGCTCGGAGCATGCCATCGATGGGTGGACAACACTTCATGTCGATGGAGCTCCAGCACAGGACCACCACATTCGAACTATCCGAATCATCACGTTGCAACACATGGCGTCCCTAGTACTACTTGAGAACGTTGCAAGATACTAAATCGTACAGCAACTTGTACTTCACCTCGAGCACACAGAAATCGCGCCGCTTCTTGGCCACGAACCCATCGAGCGAGGACGTTTTGGTCGCGAGCCACTTGACGCGCACAGAGGCTGTTGGTGTGTCCACGATCGTGTACAATGTGTGCGTGTCTGCCACGACGCCATGTCCCTTGACATGGTGGGTGCGGTAGTAACCGGCAACTTCGTCCAAGTGACCGATGAACTCGGTGGTCCCTGCGTGGAGCGTCGACGTGTTGGGTGTGAACGGGTCCCAACCTTCGTACATCTTTAAATCTGCATCGTCCGAGTCTATGTTCCAGTGGTATCGTGTGTTGGTGACGGTACTAGCTTGGACCTATTTGATACACATCACATCGTGGTGTGGTTACACTGATTTAGACACATACAATATGGAGGGCGTGTTGGTAAGCCAGGTGTGCATATCGCGTCGCTTCTTGGGTGGGCAAAGGAGGGCAGTTAAAGTAGTCGGGTGCAAGCGGCAGCGTGTGCATGTCTACGAATGCACGACTACAGCTAACGTTATGATGGAGACTGGACGCTTTCATTGGCATTTTCTTGACATTGCACATTGAACCTGCACCTTGGCAATGTATGCCCATACTTCCAGCAAGTCTACCCAACACATTTCCAAGTTCAAAGTCGACATGACAACAGCTCGTCCACTTTTTTATGAAAATAACCGAAATTCGTAGTATTATGGAATCGAATTTCGAAGCTACGTTCACCTCAAATTGCACTTGCTGCCGTGCAGCATCGCGTCACGACACCGACAATGCTGGCCCTTCGTCCGATGTTACGGGCGGGTGTTGCTGGCATGTCCAAGCACCACGTGCGTCTTCTTATCGGTGGATCAGCCATCTTGACGTACTCCATTCACAGCTCGCCATCGCGTTCTCTCATCATGGTCAACAGCGAAAACAGGCGATCGTCGTCGGAGCAGGCGACGACCATCAAGTTCTCTGGTGGCGATTCCAACATCGTTTCCGTGACGATGGTTCGATCGTCCTGTCTACACCTTGTTCACAAGCTCATGCGTATGTAGGTGCGCAAGTCGCTGTGGCAGCGCATCGCGAGCATCCTGCGCCTCTTGTACCATTGTGGTCGACTGGTCCTCCTTGGCATGCCGCTGCTTGTGACGTACCCCGTCGCCCGCATCGCGGACAGGGATGTCGCGCATTGGTGGTGGCACCTGGCGCTGACCACTGGCAAGCATTCGAGTCCCGCGATCATCAAGTTCCTGCAATGGGCCAGCACCCGCCGCGATATGTTTTCCCCTCGCTTCTGCAACACCTTCCAGCAATTCCACGCCAACTGCGAAGTCCATTCGTGGAGCCACACGCTCGAGCGATTGGTCGACGCGTTCGGCCCTTCGTGGTCGACACACATGCAGTTGGACCCTGACCCCATCGGGTCGGGCGTGATCGCCCAGGTGTACCAAGGGCGGTGGATAGCTACGAACGAAAAGATCGCCGTCAAAGTGATTCACCCGTCAGTTCAAGAGTCAGTGGCTTTGGATTTGGACCTCCTTTGGGTCGTCGCGGGCTGGGTCGACTACTTTCTTCCGAACCTGTCGGCCAGGGTGGGGATGGCGTCGTTCGCCGAGGTAACACGCCGCTCGATGTTTATATAACTAACCCCCCATTGATTAAAAGGTGGATAAGGAGGATGAATGGATGGATGATCAAATGTCGGGGCTTAACAAGCTTGTAGGTGATGACAAGTCAGCTCGACCTTCGGGTGGAAGCAGCCAACCTGTTGCGATTTCAAAGCAACTTTGCGACAACTCCAAACGTGACCTTCCCCACGCCCATGCCCGAATTCGTCACATCGTCGGTGTTGGTGGAGAGCTTTGTGGACGGCGAGCACATCAACACTGCCGTCGACGCGTCTTCGGCCACCTGCGACCGACGGCAGCTGGCGGCCACAACCGTCGACACGTTCCTTCGCATGCTCTTCCTGCACAACTTTGCCCACGGAGACATCCATCCTGGCAACATCCTCGTGACTCGGAATGGCGCCGCCGGCATTGCGTTGCTGGATGCTGGCATTGTGAATACGCTCAGGCCGACCGATTTCGACGACTTTGTCGAGCTGTTTCACCATATTGCGTCCAAGGACGGCGTTGCGGCCGGCAAAATGCTGCTCGAGAAGAGTCCGCGCCACCACTGCACCGACCAACCCGCGTTTACGTCGGCGATCGCGGCCATTGTGGACCGAGCCACGAAAAACTTGAGTCTCCGCGAGGTGCCCGTGGGCGAATTACTCCAAGACGTATGTGTGCTTTAGAATTTTTGTTTTTTTGGTGGGTAACCAACTGTGATTAGGTGTTGGAGGTGTGCCAACGCCACCACGTGGCGCTGCAAGGCCGCTTTGTGTCGGTGGTGGTGTCGATTGGGGTGTTGGAAGGCGTCGGGCGGCTGTTGGACCCCGAGCTCGACATTTTGAAGATCGCGTTGCCCATCTTGATCCAAGCCAAGTTCCAGCAGCGGCTACAGTAAGGTTAATACTACTGTAGCAGTACAGTGCAGGCCTCATAACAGGTGCGAAATCCCAGTTTTAACAAAAATAAGCTAAAATTGGGATTTCGCCGAAAAAACTCACTATTTCTGGGATTTTTGTCCAAATAGTCAGAAATGTTGTTTTATTGTCTTATTATCGGCGTCAAAATCCTCCTCCTCGGCCAGCTCGTCTTCGGCGCGGAACATCAGCCGCCAATGATATCGTCAATAATTGTAGGCGAGTGAGGGAAATGGTCATATTAGAATGAACTCCATCAAGCTGATGCCTATAATCGAAATGCTACACGATCGGATCAGTTCATACTTCACCTGGTTGACAGAAACCTTGGTCGTCGCATCTTCGCTGGCGATTTGGTCGTCAACCTTGCTCCATGGAAGCGCACTTCTTCGAAACAAGAAACCGTTTCATTCTTTTTATCATGGCATGAGCAGAATTTTTAAAAACAAGACATCAAAACGATATTATGTGACGTTATATGTGGAAGCAAATACTCCGGAGTATGATTAACAAAGTTGGATAACTTGGATGTTATATTTGAGACAGCCACTTTCAAAGCCACATAACATGAGTCAATGTAAATCGATCAACCCGAGACTCAATCTGCGTGTTCACAAGCATTATCTCTACATTAATGATGTATCATAGAGGTCGCTACGAGCTACATTCATCGAGATATTTACTTACAAAGTAGGTTATATTTGTGATTTTTGCTACTTTGAGGACACATCACTCATGCTACAATGTTCCAATCACCATATTTCTAGCTTTGAACGATAGCCAGCAACTAAGTTTGCAATATCTACATTCATTAAACCGCTCGTAGACAAGCTGCTGAGGTCGACAAAAGCTGGAACTAGCACTCTGGTGCAGATTTTGGGGAAGTTCCTTAAAATTGGGATTCTGCACAGCCTTAAATTTGGGATATCGCAGCCTATTTTTAGCTTTTCCCAGGTTTTTAGGAGGCCTGGTACAGTACAGTGTAACGTTATAAGGAGTACAGTACTGAAGTATTTTGTACAGCACTGAAGTACTCCGTTCCAAAATAATGCGCGAGTTTTGGGAGGGGGGACATGAAAGCACATCATTAGGCCTTTGATTCAAAAACATAATCACTGATCACTTGATTCAGTATAATGGAAATACCCCCCCTTATATTGGATAAAACAAATGGAATGATCAAAATGGGACAAAATAGTGATGACTCAGTATTTACCGCATAGATCGATAATACCGTGTAGTGTATATTGGTTTAGACAGCCTTTTTGATGTGGACTCCTGTATAAAATAGTACTATTTGCAGTTAGACACATATCAAATTTGGCTAGTTTATCCTTGGCGCCTTTAAGGACCCCTTATACTTCATATAACCCCTATCTACCGATAAAGTATCGATTTATAGAGGGAAAAATTAATTTTCGAAGGTTTTGGGGCATCAACTTGGCGCGCCAGCTTCCAATCGCATGACCGAGGCATCACTCCAAGCTCCAAGCATCCAAATGGCAAGCAGCAATGCTGCACTGGATCCTCCGGTAATCATTTAGATCGAAATAAATCGGAATTGACGCATACTTTGATCAGTACCTATAGTACCTGATAAATACCACCGATATAGAGCGTTAAACACATCACAGCCAACCAAGCACACTTGGTGTCCCATCCATAGACTTTATAACACGAATACTTGGTGTCCCATCCATAGACTTTATAACACGAATACCTCCATGCGCGCCAACTTCACCTCCATGTTGGAGCGGCTTCATGCTCAAAGCGCCTCCGACCGCATCTTCCTCGAAGAGAGCCTTACCGAGTTTGGTCCAGAGGTTGCCGAAGCTGACGATGCCGCCGACTACCCCCACCCAATCATGG